AAAATTCAACACAAATAAGTAACGCTTTTAGTGCGCGTTTCGTCATTCACACAGATACATGGCACATATAAAAAGGGACTGTTTACAAAATTCAGATTTTTAACAGTATTTACAACTCATAGCACTGCTTCAGACTGAAGCAGATTGTCGGACAAACATTAAAAACAAACAAAGAAATAAAGCTCTTACAGTTTTTTTTTTTTTTTTTTTTTTTTTTTTTTTCATGTGTTTAGAAATAAGGAATTTCTAATTTTCCAAGTACATCTGGAAAAACTGATTTTTTTTCAAAGTTCTGTTTTATTAAATATTATTTCTGATTTTTCTGTCACTCACTTTTAAATACAAAATGCAGGCATGTGGAATCTGAAATCTACCGCTACACGATAGAAATGAAATAAGTGTAGAGCCAAACTCTGTTATAACGATCACCAAGGAACAGATTCCTCTTTTTCAGTATTTTCTGGCAGATGAATCGTGAATTAAATGTTTAAAGGGGAAAATTATGATCAAAATCAGCATTACTCTTTGCTCATTATAGATATTCTCGTTATTCCCGTGCTTCGTAACAGAGTTCGACTTTATATATTAAACACGATGGATAAAATGACTTAATGTTTATAGCTTTTCTTTTTCTCAGTTTTACAAACGAAAAACTTAAATTCGGTTACACTTTGTTGAGAATGCTCTCAAAGTCCCTTCCCGCCCCTCTCGAACAACTCATATAAGGGGTGTACCAAAATTAACGCAAGATTTGAATTTGCCATCATTCGTGCAGTAAAGTGTTGGCAATCATTTGATAGCTGATAGTTCAGGGTTAGTAGAAATGAAGCGTTACACGACAGAACAACGTTTTTTCATCGTTGAACAATATTTCAAAAATAATGAAAGTCTGGAGGCCATAGTTCGAAAGTTTCATACAAAATATGGTCAACTGTGAAGAAAGTAATTGAAAAAAAAATCCAGGCAGACTAGATCAATTGTTGATGTTAAGCACACCGGTAGTCCAAAACCAAGCCGTTCAAATGTCAATAGGGAAGCAGTGCATGAGAGTTTTGGTGAAAGTCCAGAAATATCAATTAGGCATCGTGGACAAGAATTACAAATTTAAAGAAGCTCTCTACAGCCTATGCTTACAAAATTTCAATTGACACAAGAACTGAGGCCTAATGACCACGTACAGCGAAGAGAGTTTGTTTAATGGATTACTGAACGTCAACAAGTGAATGCCGAGTTTTCGAATAAAATCATTTTCAGCGGTAAAGCACATTTTCACCTTGATAGCTTTCTTAATCGTCAAAATTGCCGCATTTGGGGTTCAGAGAACCAACATGTGATTGTCGAAAAACAAATGCATCCTCGCCGTGTCACTGTTTGTTGCGGATTTTGAGCTGGAAGCATCATTGGACCATACGTTTCGAAAACGTAGCTGGTCAAACAGTACTTTGTTACTGGTGCTCGATATCACGACATGATACCACAGTTCTTTCTGCCTAAATTTGATGTTATTGAGGTGGACGACATGTGGTTTCAGCAAGATGGTGCCACATGTCGTACAGCCGGTGAAACAATTCAGTTACTGCATGAGAAATTTCCTAGCCGTGTGTTCTTTCGTTTCGGTGATGAGAATTGGCCCCCTAGATAGTGTGATTTAACGCCATTGAATTTCATTTTATGGGGTTATATAAAATCAAAGGTCTATGCCAACAAGCTCATAAGCACGAGTGGATCGAAGGAGGAAAATCAACGTTGCATCAACGAAATTCAGCCACATTTATTCAAAATGGTCATGGAAAATTTCGACAAAAGACTGCGTAAGTATGAGCAAAGCCGTGGAGACCATTTGCCTTATGTGTAATTTCATACATAACCCTATCCTGTGTACTTTATGATTCAATAAAAAACAGCAATTTAAAGAAAAAACTGTGTTTTTTATTTAATTCAAATCTTGCGTTAATTTTGGGACACCCAATAGAAGAATCAAACTAGTTGTGGTACAGGAAATGTTACACGAATTACTCCCGAATTCATTGTTTCGAAAGTGGTATGTTTTTATTCTCAGGAAAGGATAAAAAGAATTATTTCATTACATTACCTGCATTCATTCTGCATTATACAAGGAATTCTTAAAAATCGTAAAAATGAGTTTAATTGATGTATATGGGAAACGCAAGATAGATCCGACATCATTGCCAATTAGCCCACGTCTCTTTTCTTTCCAAAAAAGAAAGCTCATTGCGTTTTTTATAAGCATTAAAATTAGCATCCACACTGTTTCCTAAATTCAACAAATTTACTCAACAAATTCGCACCACTCTGGGTGCGAAATGCAAGCGAAAAGAAAATCTTTATTATTATTTTAGTTTTTAAAAATTAAATAGCATAGTTTTACTTTTATTGAGAATATTATTAATAACTGTTCAATCTAATTAAAACTTATAACTATATATTAGTTTATTATTATGACGGAATAAGAAAATACAATGAAGTTATAAAAAAAATGTAAAAAAAAAAAAAAAAAAAAGGACACGATTTATATTGCTGCACATTTGAGGACTTTTTCCTCTATTTTCTGTGAATTAATTAATATCTGAAAATAAGTACAGAATTTTTTTTTCTTGCAAAATAAAATATCTTTTTTTATTTGCATAAAAAATTAAGAAAGAAGCTACTAAAACGAATGTTTGCTTCTGATTTAACAATTACTACCTTTTATTTACTTATGAAGTAAGTAGATTTCCAGTAATTTACATTATTTGCATGGGTGTATGGATGAAAATTGGCTTATTATAAGCAGTCAGTCGTTTAAAATTGGTGAAAGTAGTATAGTTTAGACACCATTTCGTCATTGCCATTAAGAGCAGAGCTCGCATACTACTATAGTTAGTTCGTAATAGGATAAAATATATGATGCTTGTATTTAAAAATTCTTTAAAATGTGCTTAAAATTAACGTCATTAAAACTTAAACATCAAATGGAAAAAATTATGCTTTTTAGGGTTCATTTACATCAACGAAATAAAATGTTAATGATGTCAGTAAGTCTACCTAATTGCATGTGATTACTGTAAAACCAGATTAATTTGAAAATAGATTCTTATTTTATTTAACAAAAATGATAGCACATCGTTCTATATTTTTATTATCTGTTAATAAAGAAATACTTATTCGTAGAAAACAATGACTTTTGTGTATTGAAACATTTTACCCACTCTGGAATATACTCTATGCAACTATCTTCGTTATTCCTATCAGCTTGACGTCATTTCCTCTGGTTCTTAGGATGTTGCCATTAGAGAGATCCAAACTCTCTTTTCCTATTTAATTGTTCCTTAGATTCGTGTGTCCCACTCAAGTGTGTGACGTGCTGTCTCACTAATATAAATACAAACTCTTCAGCTAAAATACTGTAAACAATCTTAAAACTGATAAGAATTATAAGATTTTTAAGGCAAAACACATCTAAAATGAACACTATTCCCGTGTTTTTAGTTACCAGTTACATAATTTTAATCATGATATGTATTATACTTCTCATATAAAATTCGAATGTAGCAGAATATTTTGCTGAAAATTCCATTAATAAGATTTCACCGAAAATGCAACTTAATTCTATCTAAATTTTTCACTTCTTAGTTTCTAACTGAATTGAAAAGAAATACATTAAATATTTGTAATTCATGTTTATTTAACAGATCGAAAGAAATCTCATCGAGATGTTTATTGTTTCCATTTCGCGAATTTCAAGCACTGCCTTTTGAAGACATTATGTGCTCCATGCCTCGCACATAAGCAATCAAGTGAAATAAAAGCAGAGGATCGTCTCGAACGAAAGAGTGTTCTCCCCCCTTCAAATAAGCACACATAATACATTAATATACGATGATATAATATCATAGGAAAATTTTTTATACTATTTGTTTTGATATTTTGAAAAGATCATTTTAAATAAAACATTTTACAGCTTATGCCAGGTCTCAAATACATCTTGTACGATCTAAAAGAAGCCGATTTGTTTTAAACAAAATGGAAGTCTTTCTATAATTAAATTTTGCCTACTAAATATTTACTAAAACTTATATAAACAGTAACATTAATGAAGCAAAGGAAAAAATTCCAATTTATATTTATCTTCTCTCTGCTATCTAAAGGATGATATTTGCAAAAAAATTCTGATGGTTATACTTTCCAATTCAAACGTATTGACAGTTAAAGATTAAATTTTCAGATTTGCATTTATTTTAAATGATTTTAATACGTTGAATAAGCAACTAAATAATTTATTTAAACTAAAAAACAAAAATTGCGAATGTGGAACAAAATTTGAGAATCGATAATAATAATTTTTCGTCTTTCTTTTCTTTTTTAGTCCAAAGGGATTTGAATCCCGAAGGACTATTAGTTTCGTTTTGGCATTTTTTTAGTCCAAAGGGATTTGAATCCCGAAGGACTATTATTTTCGTTTTGGCATTTTGCGTCGGACGGATAAATGTCGGTTCACTTTTCAAACTGTTGCCATAAAATGTTAGAGTCCTGCATTATATTTGAAGAAATTAAATAATGAAAATCTGCGTAAATGTATGTATATTTCTCACATTGTCATAAAATAACGGTACATAGAGTCATCGAATTTTGAATAACGTAATCCTCCAACGAATATGAGCATGTGGAAGACCAAATTTGAAATTTGAAATTTGTTTTATGATCGATTTCCTATTTTTTAAAACTTTGACGAATTTTTGATTAACAAACTCAAGGATTTCAAAGCGAGCAATGGCAACGTTGTGCAGAAAAAACATTTTTATCTCCAGCGCGTGAGTCTCTGTATCGGAAATTCTAAAGATATGCTCGTTTTAAAACTATTTTGCGATATTGCTGTTGCACTGGATCTTATGGTTTAAGTGCGAGGAACATGATATTTAATGAAGAAAGGTAACACACAAAATGTTAAAAAACGCCCCTTTGGACGTAATTTAAAATCTGAAACATTTCAGATTTTTTTTTTTGTTTTTTTTTCTGACGCATTAATTAAAAAAATTACACATATTTTTGTGTGGTAGCGAATGTCAGTTGAAACAAAGATAAATATATAATTTGCCTCGGCTGCCAAGTTTGCCTTTCAATATGGATCAACGTATACAGTAAACATATCTAGCAAAAATTCCGCAACTGAGAATATTTATCTTTTGATAAGTACGAATAAAAGTTACTCAAATCTGAATCTTCAAAACTTTGAATACAATTTATATTTCTTATTATATCAATTTATATTCTTATTTTAAATTTCTTGGGGCGTTTGTAGAATTTTTAATATGTCACTTAAATTCCTTTCTAATGGTAATGAAAATAATATAAAATTGGACTCCAAATCATTAAAATTTTAAACCTTCCAATTCTTGTCATTAACTAATTAATGTTTTAATTAATATGCGGGAAATAAGTTCAACGCCGAGTAAAATTGCTTCGGGCCGCTAGTGTGAGACCACTGCCTTACAGCTGTAATTTCTAACAAACTAATTATTAAACTACTAAGTCTATCGTAATGGCTTCAAATTATTTCAGGTGATCAGCTAAAATCTGAAGAAAAATATAAGAGCAATTTCCTTTTAATCTTACAATTTTTATATATACTTATTTACTTTTTGAAATTTTAACAGTTAACACTTCGAGATTAGATTTAATCTGAAGTTTTCAGTTTACGTTTTTTTGTGGAGGGGGAAGGGTCAACAACCATTCTTTTTTTTTTTTTTTTTTTTTTTTCATTCTACAAAAGATGGTTATTATCATTTTTAATGAAAACCACTTAGTATATATTTTTTAAATAACTCTTTAAATTCATGTGAATAATTTTCCTTATTATATTTAGGTATATTAGCATTTATAAACTGGCATTCTGTTTTGTGCAAATGTGATTACAATTAGTAAAAGCATTAGAGCTATAATTAGCAGTTTAATATTCACTTTATGTTTCGAAGAATGTCCAAAAAATTAAATGAATCCTAAAATTCTGAAAATTTCTTCAATATTTTAACAATGGTCTCACTTTTTCTTTCATTTTTAAAAGGAGATCTCGGAACGTTTTTATATTTTTTCTTCTTTTACCGAATAAATATATTTATTCAGAAAGAAGAAGAGGAAATTTCACGTTGTCCTCACTGAAGTTACTGTTATTGTTATTATTGTAATCAGAGTTAAAAAATTTCTTATTTCCTCATCCTAAAATAATATTTCTTACGATCAAAGTAAAACTTCATGAATTTTTAGATCAATATTAAATGATAATGAAGGAAAGTAATATACTTGCGATTTTTTTATTAAATTTTTTTCTGGCACTGCTACAAAAGTACGTAGAAATTTTCATTCAAAGTTATACGCAGAGCAAAAAACTGTAAATATTCCCTCTCTCATTAAAAAGTGAACGAAATGGCTATTAAAATTTAATGAAAAGTACGTACGTTTGTTATTAATAAAAAATATTCCATTAAAAATATCTATTTTATATTTTCTTACGCGATTAGGGTAATAATTAACGAACTTCAATGGAAAACAGTGAACAGATTTCTTCTCAATCCCATTACAATTTAGGAAATAAGATTACTAAAATAGAATCATAGATAATGTAAGATAGTAGATACAATTAAATTCCACCGAAATCTTATTACTAAGATAGAATCCTAATATAATTCCAGCGAAATCTTATTGAAACGAATATCAGCAAATTATCATATTATAACAGAGATTGAACTGTACAGTAGATTATTCTTCGTACATTTCAACAATTTCATCTAACTGCACGACTTCTATTAAATCGTTGAACACAATATGCACATAGTATATTGTATTCAAGAATTCATTTTATCTCACACTGCACGTGGTCCCTTAATATGCAATTTCAACGATTTGCCTGTTTGAGTTTCTGAGCAAGCTTCGGGTCAATATGCTTACACCATGGCTCTTCCAAATTTCGTGATATTTTCAGGTTTCTTTCTTGTGGGAATTATTAAATATACAAAATCTGTCCCATGCGAAACTACAGGAGATTCGTAAATGTCTGTATATTTTGCTCTTCTTGCGTAATGGGCGTAGGCTGGATGTCTATCAGCGAGGAACCTAACCGGAACGGATCGCAGAACTGAGGCTGAGAAGCTAGTTCAGACAGCGGCTTACAGTCTTGGGCAATCTCTGGCCCTTGGCTCTGCTGCCTAAGGAGATTGCGCCGCCATTTTGCTCGAGCGTTCTGGAACCAGACCTGAAAGGAAAATAAATAAATAAACACACACACACACATATGTAAGATAAACTCAAAATTGTAAATTATTCCCTAATTCCTTGTTTTAATTTGTGTGCCTCCCCTTTCTATTCCAAATTGTTTATAATCATTTTCTGGACTGGGGCTTACCGCTTCATGCTTGCTTATGTAATTCTCCTGCAGTGCGACAGTTGCTCGTATCCAGTTGCAGATCCACAAATGAAACAAAGAAATCAAGTCTATAAATATCACTGCTACTAATGAGCAGCCCTTCTCGCTGCGCATAGTTGCTGCTTCTGTCAAAAAAGATGTAAACAGTACTAAACTGTGGGATGCAAGAAATAAAATTGTGTTGAAATTAACGGTCAGTTCTGAAAAGCTTCTCTTCTACGTTATCTCATCTTAAATATACCCGCAGTTGTTTTTCAAATCTTGAAATTATATAACTACAGAAGTATTACATCTAATTAATCGGACAGGATCCCTCATGTCGAAATGGAAATTTTTTCTCCAATGGAAAGTTTGAATATGGAAATTTATTATCCAATGGAAAGTTTATTCAGCCAGTCCTTCAAATCGTGGCTTGTGTGATAAATTCATGGTAATGTATAGAAAGGGGAAAAAATTCTATCATCGGTTTGCGAAGGCGTTTTAAATACTGCATCATTTAATCGATCAGTGAATCAAATGATAATCACTCGTAGTGTATATGTTCAAACGTGCTTTGAAGTTTAATGATTCTCGTGTTTACTATTGCTTCCTTTGGCTCTTATAGTAATAAATAATTCAAGCGTTCTTTTTCGCTGGTACGGGGCTAAAAATTGTGTTTAAAGGGTATGCTAGAAAGTTATTTTCACATCTGTTTTTCTATAACTGAATTTTCATCACAAATTGGCATTTTTCTTACTAAATTGAATTTTGAAAGTGTAGCTCTGTTATCTGAAAAAATATCATTTTATGATATTACCTAATTAGGATTTTAATAATTTGATATCATAAATTAAGTAAATTTTAAGATTATTAAATTTTATTTGGAGAACGTTACTAAAAATTACTGTAGTAATAATTAGAAATTTGGATTATTAGTAAAACAATGTGAACTATTTTTCCAAGAGATTTTGGAATTATTTTGAAAATAAATTGATGAAATAATTTTGAAAACTGATGTAAGATATGGTGAATAATGTTGAAGTTAATGAATAATCGTATGCAGAAATAGAATATATTAAGATAAACTTTGAAGGCTTCCATCTTACGAAAAAATATTATATAAAAAACTATTATTTTTATTAATTTTTTTATTGTTATATAAGGTTGCGATTTAAATTTTTTTTAATGTAATGGAAAGTTTCACGCAGTTCAAAAATACAATTTGTCTTTAATACAAAGAATGGAGGCTTTTATAAATAACTCCTTCAGAACCCATTTAACCACTGGTGAAATAATATATAAATTAGTTAATGCGGATTTACCCAACACATGGTTATGTTTGTATTTGGAGAAAGCTGTGGGATCTTTCAGTTTTGTGTAAAATGAAAAAAATTAGATATAATAATAAAAGAAGAACCATAATTTTAGTAATACTATTATTACAAATGGTATTAAAATGCAAGTTATAATAATAAAAATTAGTTACGGTTTAAAATTTTGAAATTTGTTGTGATAATTTTTAAAAAAGTAATCAGTGTAAAAAAAATTTTATATTTGTGAAATTAAGTGAAAAGTTTGGCAAGCCTTCCTTAAGCAAATATCATCATGGAATTTTTAAACCTAAGCTTATTTTTAAAATTATTATTGTAATGTAATGTAAAATTTTATTCGCTAAATTTGTAAGTTCTAGCTTGAACATACAAGTTATTAATCTTCAATTGAATTTGAATTTTTGTATATTTGTTTTTATTTCAATTATATAATACTGAAGATTTTTATGACCATAAATTATAATTAATACCTTTAATGTATTTATACAATGATAAAAAACAATTACTTTGTACAAGGAAGGGAGGTTTTTATTTTCCATTGTAGTTAAGCACCTACAGCCATTAGCAGGTGGTTACGCTGATTCCCTTTTAACTGTCCTCAAATAATTAATTACACATTCTCATACCCAGGCATTCCCCATTATAGAACTCGATAAGTAAAGAGTAACAAATATTTACTTTCGAAGATTTTCGTTTTCATCGCGATAAGTTTCTATCTGCTCTACTTCCATAGAAGCCGTTATACATTAGCCAGTTCCTGAAGTTAATCAATTATTTCGTTGAGCCAAAGTTAATGGGGAATTAAAAACTAAGGCGGAATTTGCTTCGGAAATTTTGCTTCTATTGCTTCGCTTATGAGTTTAAAATTGGCAGCCAAAATCTGGCGGAAAAAATACTAGCTGCGTTATACTTCTTTAAACGCTAATCTTTGATTTTTCTGGACTTTTAATCTGGAATTTTCATCATATGCAATTTACCTGAAGGACTCTTTTAGACAACCCCGTTTTCTGGGAGAGTTGCTTGAGATCTTTGGCGTCAGGATTATGGTTGATGGAAAAATACGATTTCATGGCTCTGAGCTGGTGATGTTTGAAGGAAGTCCGCATTCGCTTAGGCCGCGTCAGATGTTCACTGGAAGTGCTACTATCGCTGCCCACAGCCGCTAGACTACTCGAACTATGCTGCAAAGGAGACTGATGATCACCCGATAAAGAACAATGGTCGTCAGAACTCGTCACGGATGGTCCTAAAACAAAACAGTGAATTAAATGTATGCAAATATATAAAGCATGAGACACAATTTCAGTGAAAACAAATATATTAATTATTAAAAGACCTCCAACCATTGTATATTCACTAGCACAAAGCTTTAAAAAAAGAAAAAAACTGAAATAATAATTCTAACAGCAGTTTTTTACTATTTTGTCATCTAAATATGTTTCTCTGAGTTTTTTCGAATATTTTTAAATGGGAGCTTTCGGAGCAAAAGTCACCATTTATGTTGCACGTTTACCGGCAAATTTTCAATTAGCTTCATGAAATAATTACATTTTTTAAATTAGTCATCAACTTAATTAGATTTAAATTACAATAATACAATCTACCTTTTTCCCCCAACAGATACAAAATATAAAATAAGAGTTATGATCTATTGATGGAAAATTTGTTTTAATACCCCTGCCCCCCCCCAAATAAGTACATGTTTTAATTTACTAAAGGTATAATTTAAAATTCCAAAGAACGTATATTAATCGGTCTGAAAAGCATTCCCTTTTTCTTTTCTTTTAAATGCAGAATTTTTTAGATCTAGTGGAAAAAAAAAAAAAAATTCTTTTACATAACCATATTCCCTCTTTCGACTTTTCAGCAAGGCTACATTCTCTCCTCGGCTTTCAATTATTTTTCTACTCACTAGATGGTAGCACAGGAATTATCATCCATTTGTTTAGACAAAGTACAGGATTTCTTTCATAAGCATTCTTTTCATCAAAAAGTAGAACACTGAACATGCGATTATCACTAACCGTAGGTTTAATTGGAACTTAATTGAAATTTATCAAAAAGTTGTAGTTACGGTGAAAGCAACAGAAGTTGTAGCGCTACACGCGGAATGAGTGCCAAAAGTTAAACAGAAGAAACTGTTTAACTTTTGGCACTCATTTTTTGGAAAATTTCACCATAGCATTTTATTTTGGGGATAAAAATTGTAATTCTCAATATCTGAAGGCCAGAATTCCAGAGTTATTCCTCTCACTGATTCGTTTCTCAGCATGGATTTCCTAGTTTCCTGAGTAGGAAACCAAATAAGAAAATTTCGACTCAAACAAACTCATTTCCTGTTCGAAGATATGGTAAAACCTATTTTGAATCTCACAAGTTTTCATTTGACCAATCGCCATATTGCGATGCAATGTCAAAGTTCATGATTAATTTCAGGATCATTTGTGCTAATTTTTGCATTAAGTTTCTTCATTTATTTATCATTAAACTGCGCAGAATGATTGCAGCATCCTTAACGCTTCTTTTTTTCGATGAACTGATACCGATTTTTATGCCAAAATATTACCAACAACCTACTGTAGAATGAAGTATTTTTTAATATTTATTTATTTTTATTGTAACAGAAATTTTTTCAGTTTATTATAAAATGTTTTTGTCAACAACAACTGGATGAAAATTTTCATCTCATCAAGTCATTTTTATCTAATTAAGATACAATAACACGCCGAATAAATACAAAAATCAGCGTTATATTTTCAAAATATAACGCTATAATGAAAAAATAACGCTGATTTTTGTTGTTTGACTTCTGAATTAGTCATTTTTATCAATTCGATTTTCGAGGGCATCGAATCATCGGAACTACAATGCCTTTTATTTCAAGATATAAAAAAAGGTCTGATAAAAGTATCTGATAGTAAATCATTTCTTTCTTTACAACATCGATTGGAATACTTCCATGTGTATCAGTGCTAAATACAAATGTAATGAAAATTCTAATTAGTCACATTTACAGAATATTGAATTGATGTGATTTGAAAAGAAAAAAAAAATAATATGCATCCTTGTTGCAAATGTTTAAAGAAATGCTATCCAAACACTTCATATACATAAATTCATCAACAAATTTCCCCTTTCGAAATGAACTACATTTTCTACGAAACATGTTTATGGCATTTTAGTTCGACTGGCACAAACTTAACTAAACTATCTTAATATTTGAAACACTTTCAGAGTCCGTAAACAGCATGGCCAATTTTACTTCCTTTCGAAATAAGGAAGTATACTATAATCGTAAAAAATTTCTGGGTATCACATTTCGAAAGAAATATCCATTTTGACCGTTGCCGAATCCATTTTGACTATTTTGGATGACGCCTGTACGGAGTAGAGGACTCTTTTTCCAAAATGAATTGCAACTTGGATTTAAAATTGATTTTTTTCGTGACGTTTCTACGTACCTATGTATCTCCCATAACTCAAAAACAATAAGTCGCAGAACGTTGAAACTTTGTATATGGGATTGCTGAACACTGAACGCTGCTCAAGTGGACTGCCGCCCTTAACTATAGTAAGCCTTACGGTATTTGTTTCCACTTGGCAGATAACATCTAGTCGTGCACCTCCTTTCTATTACAATTGCAGTTACAAATACATATACAAATATAAATATATCAATTTAATCATTGAGATTTCTAAGTTTTCAATTTTTTCATTACATTTCTACTATTTCTCTTTTCTGGTTATTGCAATTAGTAATGTTTTATTCCTTTCTGTAGTCTGTTTAGTAGTTAGGTATCCTTTTGTTTTCTGAGAGTACGAATGCATGTAGGAGAAGCTCTGAACTTATTTGGGACTCGTTGTAATATTAATTATTGTTTATAACAGTTTTAAGTCTCAGAGGCACGAAACACGTATTCGGAACTCATTAGTCGCCCAATTGAAAGCTTTAAACACTCTTCCCTTGACAAGTTCTGTTTGAAGCAGTAAACAAGATTGCTTTTTTTTTTTTTTTTCCTTTTTCATATTTCTTAGCAGTGCTTTATGTGTGTACTTTTCACTGTTGGTTTGATGAACTAACTTTTAACCGGTTCAAGTTTCCCGTGCACAATTACTTCACTATATCCTTAGACAGGATAATCAGGATTCTCTTTTACCTATGACCTCGAACTTTATATATGTAAAATATAAAAAAATACGATGGCTTTGCTTTTCGCGAGCACGCAACTTTTAATTAATTTTCTGCAATTTAAGATCTTTTCCCTAGACCAGTACCTTCTAGAATTTGCTATCCTATTACGTAACCGCTACTATAAATACTGAGTACGCTCCATTTTTCAGTCAGATTGCTTCCTAATCTCGCTGCTACAAGACTCTGCGCTGCCCTGTCCATCTTTTCTTTCTTTGTTAGGACTAGTTATGACGCATAAAGTTTAAATTCAATCATACTTAGTTAAAACCACTATGGATATATAATTTAAAGAGTGCTATCTAAAAGGAAAATGATCTGCTAATTGGAGCAAATAAAAACGGGTAATTAAAAGCTAAATCAGTTTGTGTCGTCTTTGGATATTCTCCTTGCCATTCTGCGAAAAGACACACACACACACACACATATATATATGTAAGAAAAAGAATATGTAAAAGATTAAATTAGCAGCGTAAATTAATTTCCCTTCTCTATTTTAAAAATAATAACTCCTCTCTGCACTGCGTCATTTCGAGACTATTCTATGGCGTATCATTCTTACGTAATTATGATGATATAAATGGAACTAAAACTCAACCAGCCAATAGTAATTTTAGAGCAATATTAACTGTCCAATCAGAATGCTTTGAGAACCAAAACTAACTCGGTCTGATTTGAGATTTCATCCTGAACATAACGCACTTGCTTTCTATGCTTTGGCCTGCCCGCACTGCAATTTGTCTGCTCTTTCTTTCTTATTGCAAATTTATCTAAACTGTAAGATCTCTTGGAATAGGTACAATTAATGTGCCAACTTAATTGTCGCCGCAACATGTTTGCTGAAATAAAACTGAAGATTTCATCTGCATTCGCCTCCCCCAATTTCCTGGTCATTGCTTCTGAGTTTGAAAAAATCACATATATATAATTTTATACTCGTTATAAAAAAAATAAAATTATAAGAAGTTTGATTCCCGTACTATAAAAATTGACCTGGGTATTAAATTTAAAAATTTACATCTTTTGATATTATTTTCAACTTGCCTCGAGCAATCGGTTAACTCTAAGTTACAGTAATTGGGGAAAATAGGTTTAAACAAAGTGCAGCCAAAAATGCGTATAATTTAATGGGCTGCAGAAGGAAGTCGTATGGTGTTCACATCAAATTGGGGAGCTTAAGAAAAGGATTCTGTTGCTTGAAGTAGAATATAAAGTAAGTTATATCTGTTTGCAGGATGATGCTCTTAACGTTATACTCTTAACGTCTGGATGACACTCTTAACGTTATACTCTTAACGTCTGGATGACACTCTTAACGTCAATAGAAGACGTAAAAAGGAAGCAGGAGTCGGTGAAAAACGTGCAGTGCCCTCGACGGGACTCTAAGCCTGCACCTCTCGAATACGCGTCGAGTATACATCCAATGACCCTACGAAGGCATGCGAAAAGGAGGGAGAAAATACCTTACAACCTATTTCAAGGAATAACTGCACAGCTTAAAAACATAGTATTTAGAGGACACATAAACATTTTAGAAACACAACATTCCAAATTCATAACTTTACTAAAAGGTCATACATATCTCAGCAATAGATGAAATATTATAAAAGACAATCCAAATCCTGATTATTTTATATATTTCCGTATTTTGCTCTAAATCAGCATCGAGTATCCAATCTCTTTATCTCTCCTGCACGGCAGACTAAAATAAAGCGAAGGAATTAATTCCATGGCACTCATTTAAAACTTTCCCACCAGGTCAGCGGAAATTGCTGCTCGACTGATTTCATAGCTCCGTCGTTTAACTGCATATAGGATTGAGTGTTTAGTAAAGCTCGTTCTCTAATGAGATTAAATTTGCTGAACGGTGCTCTCCCGATGTCATCCGAAACCTTTCGCGTTGGAAACTATTCCCGCTGCTAGCCATTTTCTCAGTATTACCTGCTGCATGGACGCAAACGTGATTAAAATGAATTATGCAAATGCGAGGGCTGATTTCGAATGGAATTGTAGCTATCAATCGGATACAGTTGAGCAAACGAGAATTTCAGGAAGCT